TAGTCAAAAATTTTTTTATTGGTTCACTCTGCCGATCATGGTCATGTGAACAAAACTAGCTTAATAACTAAAATTATTCAAAATTTGTAGACTCTAGAAACCGTTACAATGGAAAACTTTTAAAAGTTCTTGAGTATATATGTAAATGGAAAAAAAATAAATTTTCACCAAAATTGTTAACGTAATAAGTATTTGAATAATCTTTACATGATGGTTCGGTATGATGTCTCGTATCCATGTAATAAATCTTTTTTATTTGATTATTGGCTTATCGCTCCAATTACAAACAAGAATTATTTATAATTATAATTTTCAATACATATAAATGAATTAAATTTTTATTCATTAATTTGCCACCACTAAATCTTTTTAAAGAAGATAAATTCTTTGATATTTAAGTAGATCCAAATAATTTCGTAAGTATTGCATTATACAAAAATCACATGATATATTTCTCTCAGTTTATTGGTTTATAATTTATTATAAACATTCTCGTTTTAGCTATGTAATTTGCAGATTCGACATTCTAAAAAGAACGTGAAACCAAAATACAAACCTTTTTTATAAAGGATTTTCGGTTTTTTGGCGTTAGTAAATCATTAATTAATATATATATTTAAAAGGGGAAAGAGAATACAACGAAAGTCTAATTGACGGTATGATAAAATTTCATTTTACTATCTTAATATGACAAAAAATTCTTTATTAAAATAAAAATGTTATTTGTTATATATAGATTATGTTTCTAAAGCATTAGAATTTGATATTGATTAATTGAATTATATTTAATATATGGTAAAATATAATGTTTGATAAACAATCTATAACTATTTAAAGGTAATAAATTGATTTATCCTTTAAATTATTAGGCGCATATAAAATAATAATTTACAAGGAAAAGGCATGATGTAAATTTCTTTAAGAAAGGTTTATTAATTAAACATTATATCTACTTTATTATATAAAATGATAAAATAAAATGACATTGTCAATATATTACAAAGTTTAAAAATGACACAAATTTGTTTTCGATAGTAGAACATATTAATTTTCAGGAGATGTTATCACAGGAATATCACAAAACATTGAGGTGTTTTATCAGCATAGTTTAACAAACTATATTAAGTCGTATATTAAAATTATTCGTTTATAAGCTTAATAAATTTCTTAATAATATCGATGTATTTTCATTATTCGTTCTTTCAAACAAAAACAAAAATACCATCTCAAAATTAATAGGCTTTTTCAAAAAAGTAATCTGTCATGTTATTCCTTTAAGTTATTTATAATATTGCTAAAATACAAGTTATTGAATTTTTTAAGTTTCGGATTTTTTAATAAGAATTTCGAGTCGTTTCTATTCAATCAATAAATCACGTGTACTACATGTTCAAAGTTTAAGGCAAAGGTAATTAAAATTATAAACAGCATGAATCTTCTTATGACGAAGGAAACTAACCTTTTCAAAAATGACTAATTTGTAATTTGTGTATAAATTCATACTTATAGTAATTATGATTTATGCTAAAGCGAGATTTGTTATTAAAAATAATCAATTTTCGGAAATAATGTTTACAGACAGATATAACGATAAATTTTTTACTCATGGTTTTGTTAAACTATGTTTGAAAATCACCCCAATGAATCATGTATTATATTAGAAAAAAATTGGTAAAAAATATATTTAGCAGTAAATTTAGTAGTTAGACGCAGGATCAGGAATTGGGTGAATTTGGTAAGCTAGTTATTTGGATTTCATGTCAATCTTCCACATGAGGTTTTTGATATGTCATCCTTTCTTTATGCTTAAAATAATATCATTATTAGATTCTAATTATTCTACTTTCATCTGATTAAAATTTTGAATCATTCGAGACAATTCTCCATGTAATGAATAAACTAAAAGATTATTCTTAAAGTATTTTACATAATATAACAAAACTTAATGCACTTGGAATAACTGACATTTCGAACATAGAACTCGCCAAAATTGTCATATCTTTTTGCAAATAAAAGAAAATTTATTTCAGATTTATAAAAATTGAACTTACTACCCTTAGTTTGAAAACCCATTTTTTTTCCTGATAAAAAAATATATATTTATATATATTTTAACTGTATTTTGATTTCCATTTTTAATATCTTTGCGAAAAACGTTTGGACATTTCCAATTTTATTAAAGATTCTATAAAAATGACCATAGTTTTATTTAAATATTAAAATATATAGAAGTCGAAAAAAAAAAAAAATCATAAGACTTAAATATATAAAATAGAAAAAAATTGAATATACGGAAATCATATGATCTGGTTTTTGAATATATGAATGGATAAATTAAATTATAATAAAAAAAATTTTAAATCGAAAAGAGTTACTTCCTAAAACGCTTACTATCTTACTTTTTTTAATTTGAGATACTTCATAATCTTCCATAAAAATTTACTTCAGAATCTTATCGATTTTTTATAATAATCTATTCTACAATGATTACCAAATCTTGATACCCTAATCATTCATGCGGTTACTCAAATTACACTTTTATTATAGATTGCCTTTTTTTGTAAAAAAAAAAAAAAAAAGGTATAAGATGCTGGGTCTCTCACTATCAGTTGTTCATTTAAAGGAATAAATCGGTACCTTTAATTTATAAAAAAGCGACAGTATTTTCTTATAATCACAAAGCTTATGAAATTCTTTAGGTGTTAATCTCCCGTAATATCAAGTCGAATTCAAAAGACATTTTACTTTTCTCTAACTATTCTCCTATTACATTTCCCTACATTTAGGAATCAGGTGGCTGCTATTAAATCTCAATTCAAAATTTTTACGAAAAGTAATTTAATAATATCGAGACCATTTAATAAAATGAATCCTCCATAAATATCTCTTGTGAAATGAAATGTTTTTGAAAAGTTAAATTCCTTACTAAATAATGGCATTAATGAATCCAACGTACAAATTGTATAATCACATATATGAAATAATGTTTTTAATATTCTAAGAAAATCTGCAACAAAATCAAGTTGTTTAATAGCTTTTAATAGCTTTAAGTATAAATATTAGAAGTTATTCTTGAAAATAAAAACAAAATTTTGAGTTGCACATTGAATGCCTACTGAAATTTTGTCTCGGAGGTTATGAACAAGTGCGTTACCTCTTACTCTCACGTTTTGGAGAAATTGGGGACATATGTCATCGATCATTTTTCGCAAGATGTATTTATTTTTGTAAAAATGCCCACGATCACAACTTCTAAATAGTGTTCGTGGAGAATTTCTTCACAATTCTATTAACAAAATTGTTCAAAGATAATTTCACAGCTTTATCTGAATTTGGTAAATTTTTATATTGTACATTTTTGGTAATCGTGAGAAAGAATCACTAGAAATAAATAAATATTTCGGAATTGTTTGATCAAATAGAAAGTTTAAAAGTTTTACTAAAAAAAGAAGCAGACTATTTTCAAATTCGTATAGTACTTTTTTTATTTCTGGCATCATCATTTTGTAGTAACAAATATCAAAAAAAATAGTTTTTCCAGTTTCAATTATAAATTCTCATTAAATCGCATAATTAAAAATTTTATACCAATAATCTATGCTGCGAGAGTTTTTTGCCCTAAAAAAGTCTTTAGATTTGCTGAAAGAAAATTTAAGCTGAACGATTAACTGTATTCAGAAATAATATTTTTAAAGATGCTAATGAATTTTCATCAACGATAGACAATATAAAAAAATATTAAAAATATAAATAAATTAAGTTAAATATAACAAGGAAATTATCATGTCCCGAGATTTTAATGTAACAACATAAATGATATTAGGTTAGTAGTTTCATGTGACTCGATTTTTTTTAAAATCATTGAAATTTATATCACAAATTAAATAAATAAATTGTATGTATGGTTTTAAAGAGGGGAAAATTAAACACATTTTTTAAAAAATGTGTTTAATTTTCCCCTCCAACACCCTTTATAATAAATATCAATACCTTTCAGATTGTTAATGAATAAACACTAACATATGCCTCGAATTGTTAAATCATAATAATAAAATCCATTCGTAATTTATTTATTAAGAGGTTTCAAATCATTAAATATAATTATTAAAAAAAATTAATTTTTAGCATTGTGAAGACAGATCACAAAGCACCTGTCCAAGGGAAATCTTCGCTTTTCGATATTTGCAGTTAATTTTTTGAAGATCATTTTCCAGGCTGTCAAGGTGCCAGTATGTTAAGCTGTCAGTATGACAAAATGTACAGAACGCCAGGCTGGCCTAATTATTTTTTTTTTAAATATATAAGCCGGAAATCCTTAAACAGCTCAACATACCACGCTCGCCCTTGTTATATTTCTTCGCATAAATTCAATTCGAAATCCTTCATTTACCACCTTAGCGATATTTTCGCTTTCGCCGTTTTAACTTTTATATGTAACTTCGTTTATTTTATTTTTAATTTCCGATTTTTATTAGTAGTTTATTATACAATTTTTATGTAATAATTTGTAATTGCGCAGTTCTATTAATTGATAGCATTTACTTGGTTTTAATATTTGATAAAGAGAAAGTGTAGAGCGCCGACGTTGAGGTAACACTGAACGAATTGATAATATTAAATAAATTTAGCGTCAATATTACTTCATTTTATTCAATTAATACCTTACAATACAAATTGTTTATAAATACATAAACGAAAGAACTTGAAGTGAAAAAGTGGACGAAATAAGTTACAAGTCAACATCACATGTAGTATACTGTATATTGTTTACATTCTTCGTTTCGTTCTCTTTCTTTTTTTCCTAATGATATATAAGATGTTGCGATACTTTACCGGGCGGTTGAATGATAATGTTGATGTAAATACCTAGGAACTTTAATAGTTCAAAATCTGTGTATCCGGGGCGCAGCACATTGGAGTTCAATGAAAATTCTTATCAAGTTTTTTTCAAAGCCTCGTTAATTTCTTCTAGAGGAGTTACAAAATTTAGTAGCTTCAGTTCATTGACTTTGTTGTTGTTGGGCCATATCAGTTTCCATATCGTTTCCATTGATATCAAAATTATCAACTTTGTTTATATTATCAAGGGTAATTTGAATAGCACTATTATTAGAAGTACCTAATATTGTAATTTCGTCCATATATCTACAAAACACAAAAATCTTTTTTAGTATTATACAATAAAGACCTTTTTTAAATGCAATTTTTATTCTTCAAAATTAGTTCGTACTGACCTGATTGACCGATACATTTTATAATTAGCGTATGAATTAGATGCTTCGATGAAGGTTATTATTGATACACAAGCTAATGAACGAATACTTGCATGAGACTGACAATAATGGCTGTTCCAAATCAAAAATATTACAAATAAAAAATTTTTTTTTGTAATCATCGTTAGTGGTGGTGGTCCTGCACTGAATTCCTCGTTGGTGAAACGTTCATTAATGACACGGTATTGTTTGTCATTAGTTTATTGGTCAACAACTTTATTAGAGTTCGAGTTAATTTCTTTTTCCAAACTGGATTATTTGTCTCCTTAGGATTATTATTCGACGATACTACAGCAAGCATTATAATTAATAAATTCTTGCCTTTAGAATTTAAATCAGAATTTCAATTAGGCAATTCACCTATGTTTTGTCCATCGTTCAAGTTCATTAAAAAGAATAAATGATAAGCTCACGGAAGTTCAAATTTTTTTTGATGAATATTATAAATTCGTTTCAAATAAAGTATAACGCCCTTATGCATGTGTATAAACAATAAACTTTACTGCTTTAAACCAATCTTGTTCGGTAGAGAAAAGAATGTTTTCAAAGAATCTTTTTTAGAAGATATCCTAATTCTTGATTTATGCCTTGTTGAAGCATAATTAAAAATTCAATTAATTTTATTTTTTTTTGCAAAGACGATAAAAAAAAAAAAAATTTTCCGAGTAGAAATTATTATTTTATTTATTTGAAAATATGAGACTCTGAATAAATCATGACAAGAAAAATCAGGATGTCGCATTATATAAGCAATAAAAAACATTCCTACTGAATAAAAATCACCATTTTATAAATATTTGTGCATCGATTTTATAAAAGAAAAATTTTTAAATTCTAATCCTCCTCTTGATCAAATTTTAAAGAAAAGCCCTCCTTCTTGAAATAAACGTGTAATCTGCATCAAATTTTCTCATAAATTCCATTCCTAAAACATTTATTTCATTGAAGTGCGATTTTGTTGGTGTCATCATAACTATTATGAATTCATGCATGCATGTTAACAGACCACACATCATCGACAGACATAGTTCATTGGAGATTCAATATCTACTGGAAAGTGTACAATATTGATCTTCTTCCGATTTTACCATCACTGCGAAAACGTCAGTGGTGGATACCGTTGGTTTGTAACTTAAAATAAATTCACGAAATGTTAAAACCATGACAATTACTTAAGGAATCACGGGAGAGGACGTCAAAGATTATTCTCAATATAAACATAAAATAACTCAAAGATATTTCCAATATCATACAAAAAGTATATAAATAATAAATAAATTTCAAAGGGTCACGAAAGATTTCAAATATATACACAAAATTTTATCATAGCAACCTAGTTTAGGGTAATTTAAAGAATAGTTTCGAAGAATCCATCATTACTAATAAATATTTTCTAAATTGGTCGTCTTTTATTTTCTAAGCTCTACTTTTGAAAGTATATTACCATTATAAACAAGATGAGTTAATGTAAAAAAATTAAAAATGGTTGTTCAAGTAACACAAAGTTTATAAACTTTTAAATTAGATATTTTATCGAATGTCAATTTTTGAGAAAATTCTGTCGTCAAGTAATAGATATCATTCATTTTTATTCCAAAGTTTTAATTAAATTCAAATTTATTTAATTAAACAGTTCTTTTATTCCAAGATAAAAGATGGACTTTTTCAATGTAGTAAATTCGTCAATGATTTGTCACTTATTTAGCGATCGATCCAAATGTAAAAAAAAAAAATATTTAAATACTAACGGCTTAAATATACTATTGAAAGGATCCAAATTTAAAGTAGACCCTAAAGCAAATAAAGCGCTGCGTCCAAAAAGTGATCGAACTCGAAATAAAAAAATATAAAAAAAAAACACACCTCAAACGATACAATCCGAAGAGGAACATAACGACAAGGTGCTCAAGATCTTTTAGAAAATAAAGAATCGTTCGATCGCTACGGAAGTGATCGAACCCGAAGCCAATAAAAGCTCACCCGAAAAGGAACCTATAAAGGAAAGAATAAAGGCGAAGTTTTTTTTGAAAAAAAGTTCAATCACTGCAGCCCGATCATCTTTACTATTTTCTAAATTAAAAGAAACATCCAGATTTAATATTTTTTTTTTCGTTTGTAAGCAAAAAAAATTGAACCTTCATACGAAACATGAAGTACAATATATCAATAAGAACTTCATTTAGCAATTAAATATATAATTTTGGTTAGTTCAATCAGCACAAAAAGTATACTTTCTACATTAAGCAAAATGGTAAAAGCTTTTTCAACATCCTTCTCTTTATGCTAATGAAACTTTAATTCTTTTTATTAGAATTTCTCTTATTTATAAAATTATAATTAATTTACATTTTATAGATTTATTAAATAGTGTAGTTGCAAGAGATAAATCTTCGTGAAATATGCATTATAAAACATCACATTCTTATTAATAATTATATGCTTCAAATTTCAGATAATTTTCTCATTTCTACCAAGTAATAAATTAATTTATTGATTTTACAAAATCCTTATTAAATATTTTGCTGTAGATTCTGTTTGATTTCTTGTCTAACAACCTGAATTATATCATTTTTAAAATTTTCCAAGTCAATCTGTTGTAATACTCTTTGATTATCAGTACTTGAAGTTGCTATTGAATTGTTTTCAAGTTTTGGCTTTGGAATTGTTATAACTTTGTGATTAGAATTATCATCTTCATTTCCAGGAGTTGGTATTGCTCTTTTATATTTCAATTTATTTTTATTCCATCTATAAAATAATTTGCTTCCACATGATAAAATTTTATTAATATTTCTAGTTGGAACCTTAACTTCATTAGAATCATCACCTTTCTCATTTCCAGGAGTTGGTATTGCTCTTTCTACTTCCCTTCCAGTTTTATTCCATTTCCATTTATATATAAAAAAGCCTCCAAACGATAGTAAAATGCCACAGATTATTGATGCTATCACTATCCCAATTATTGCCGGTATTGATAATACGCCTGTGCTTTGTGCTGACTTTGTTGAAGTATTTTGTGGTTCTTTTGGTATAAAAGGAATTTTAGTAGGATTAATTGATGGTGACTTTTTTTGTTCTGAAGGATTGGTTGACGATTCAGTGATATCAAAATCGTAAGTCCATACATATTCTTCATCATTGCTAATATCAAGCAATAAAATATCTTCATTTAAGTCCTTTCCATCCGTATCTTTACCTATACCTATTAATTTAATATTAAATTTGTAAATAATATCAAGGTAATAGACATTAACGAAGAAAAAAAATTCATATCTACCAAATGATATAACCATGTACTTTCCAATGACATTCGCTTCATGCCAACCTCTGGACTGTGCCGGAAATGTACCAGAAGTTTTTGGAAGTGACCATTCAAAATTTGCCAAATTTAAAACATAAAGTGCTTCCTGAAGTTCTATATCATTATCTCCTGCTGAACCTCCAAAAATTATTACTCGTTGTCCATCTAACCCTTTGATAATTACATTATTATTGTTATTGCTAATTTCAATGCAAACAATTCAAAACCACTTTACAATTTTTTTTTTTTTTTTTTTTTTTTTTTACTTACCAAGAACAGTAGAGAAAGAATTTCTATCCGTAGGAATTTTACCTGAAGTTATCTAATGTAAAAAAATTATAAATATTAAAGTATCTACACAAAAAAAATCCGTCAATAAACCACCTGCCTTTGTACTCCAATTATCATTAATCGTATCATATTGATAGACCTAAGATTTTATTAAACTTTCAATATTTTATAATTTATTAATAATTCATTTTTCAATTAGTAAATCACCTCTTTTAATGGTAAAGCAGAATTTTTTTGATCATAAGAGCCACCTATTTTAATAGACGTTTATTTAACAAGGTATTGAGAGATAACATTGATAGTATTGATTATATACTTACCAAAATATATTATAAAATTACTTGGGACGAAAGTCGCACCATAAAGACATCTTTGAGTAGGTGCATCAACTTTACTTCCCAATTTCAAGTTCAAATTTATTGTATCTAAAATAAGCATATCATTAGATAGAACTTCATTTGTGTCCTTATATTTTCCACCAAACAAATACATTTTCCCTTTATCATCAACGATGCCTTTTAGGTTATGTGTTCTCTTGACATTCTCTCCATTGGCTATTTTTGGAACACTCCATGTATTACTTTTTGTATCAAACGCATAAAATAATTCCATTTCTACACCATCATAATTCCCTACATATAAAAACAAAATATCTTTACTTGAACCACCTCTGACAGATGCAGCGGCACGATGTGCTGGAACAGTATTGATATCTGTTAGATCATGCCATATGATATTTTTAACATTGAATGGAACAGAAACGTCAAGATAAAAAAATTGTTTTCCAATATTTTCATTATTAGTAGTTGTAGTAACTCGACCGCCTAATATATAAAGCTTATTATCAATAAGTGTAGCAGTGTGAGCGTATCGCTTAAATGGCGTCATTTGACAATTTACTTCGATTACCAATCGAATTAAAAGCCATAATATAATATAGTTCGAATAATTCTTTGACATCACTAAACTTTATCTAAAGAAAATAATTATATTGAAAAAAAAAAATAAATAATAAATAATAATGTTTATTTATAATAAATATTGATATATTTGTCACGGTTCCATAAAAATAAATTATTTGTATTACGCAGATCGTGTAACAATAATTTTCATCTCGCATCGCACTGGTAGCATTTTTTTTTTTTTTTTTTTCATAATAAATATTTCATTTCATTAACAAAAATGAATAACTTTTTTTTGGCGTATGTGCATGTGTTTCACATTCTTCATTTATCGTAAGACCATCTGCACCTGAAAAAAATGCGATAATATGCAATTGTGAAGTATCTCCACTAAAAAAAGCAATTTAAAATTTTGCATAATAAGATAAATGCAGTAATCTGCAAATTTTGAAGAATATTCGCTAAAGAATGAAATTCAGAAATTTGCATATTAAGGTTAATTTGGTGAATATGCAATTTCAGAAAATCTCCATTAAAAAACGGCAATTTGAAAATTTGCATTTTAAAGTAAATTTGGTAACCTGCAATTTCAAAGAATCTTCACTAATAAAAATAGCAATTCGAAAATTTTCATTTTAGGATAACGTGTAAATATGCAAGTTTGAAGAATCTTTACTGTTATAAATTTAGTTTTTAATAATTTAGTTAAAAATTTAAAATAAACAAATTTACTTTATTATTAAAAAATATATCTATTCATTAAGAACTGATTTTTTTTATGAAATCATAGTACAATATGAACAGCTT